GGAGAAAAAAGTTCCAAAAAAGAAAAAAAACGCGATAAAAAAAAGAAAAAGTAAAACATGAAAGCAGGAAACAAAGAAAACAAAATAAAAAAAGGTCGCGACAGCGGGAAACGACGAAAACAAAAGGAAAAAAAAAGCCATGGCAGCGGGAAACGACAGACTGCAACGAAAACTTAAGGGGAAAAAAAGGTTGCGGCACCAGGAAACGACAAACTGCGAAGGGGGACAAAAACCAACAAAAGAAGAAAAAAAAATGGAAAACGACGACCGAAAAACAAAAGAAAAAAAAATCTGTCTTGTCCGCTTATCAAACGGTGGGCGAGTCGAGATATTCATCCACATCAACGTCCGTCGTGTACCCAGCCCCATGGGCTCTCTCTCTCATTTACTGGCGCACTGTGAACAATTCGGTACGGGCGCCACTCTGCACGCCTACCCGCCCTGGATCGCCTTCGTCCGCCCGCCCACATCGAAACTTCCAGCGCGCAGCGGACCATCGACCTCCCCCCTGCGGCGAATGCTGCTTAAACGGACAACTGTTTCACTTCCAATGTAAGTTTTTCTTTCTTTTTTTTTATAGATTTTCTTTAGGTTTTTATTAGGTTTGCTTTAGATTCTCTCCTTTAGATTGTTCTTCTTTTAGATTTCCCCTCTCCCTTTATATATACAGGGTGGATTAGTGCCCGTTCGTTTGGACGAAGGGTTTTTTTTTCTATCTGCACGGTGAGCAAAAGTTGATGAATCTACTGCTAGAATCGAGACTATACACCCAGATAGATAGATAGATAGATAGATAGATAGATAGATAGATAGATAGATAGATAGATAGATAGATAGATAGATAGATAGATAGATAGATAGAGAGAGAGAGAGAGAGAGAGAGAGAGAGAGAGAGAGAGAGAGAGAGAGAGACCAACCGACACGGTGCTTTCATCGATAGGATTAGCAAAATCGAATGAATCTACTGCTAGAACATGGAAATATACAGGGTCACACAGTCCCCCCCCCTCACTCGTTTTCAAGAAACTTCTCCTATTCGTTTGGAGAAACGGACAGCAGGCGCAACATGAGGTAAGTTTTTTTTTTTTTTTTTTTTTCCCTTCTTCTTCTTGTTGTTAGATGTTTTCTTACCGTCCTGTTAAATTTTGTTTTAGATTTTTTAAAGATTCACCCCCCTCTCTTTTTGAGGAGCTGTGCCTGTTCGTTTCTTAAACGGGCTGCAGTCAGCAACACCACCAAAACCTGGCACTGTTGGCAGCCGGGTGCGGGCGAGTGTTGCAGCAGGGAAAAAAACTTGTTGAGCTTGACTCTAGTTCGACTTTGTGAAGTGACTATGAGGGGCTGGCCGTTCGAGCTATCCCTCACATAGAGAAACAAGGGGGCAAGAAGAAAAAAAAAAAAAAAAAAAAAAAAACAAAGGAGGCTCAGAGGAAAAGACTGAGAAATGACCATGTATGTGGTCGCGGTAGTAACTAAATGAGTAGGTGAGTGTACATGAGTGTGAGTGAGGCTGAGTCTATTCGTTTTCTGAACAGGCTCAGTAATGGTTGGGTACAACCATTCCTTGAGGCATATGGCCTGACGGGAAGGCCAGATGCTGCAGCGATTGAACGATATTGGTTCCACTAGGGGAACATCAAGATTTGCGGCCTTTGATCGTGGGCGCGGATCAAGGGCCCAGACCAGTTATGACTTTTTGACTGTGGGCAAAGTTGTTGCCCACAATTTTCTTCTGGCTATAAAAGCCAAAAGCTCCCACACTTGCCGCACGGTTGTTGAGGCTGTGATGCTGCTCACTTGCACTTCAAGCGCAGATGAGCTTCATCACATTGTGAGGGGCGGTGTTTTTCAGCCAGGGCCACCTTTATTATTTTTTTGTGGTGTGGGGGGCGAGCGGTTTTTTAGTTTGGGACCATCCCGTGGCGGTAACATGGGACCGTTTGGTACCATTTTGGGACCAGGTGAGACTGGTTTTGAAAATGGGACATGCACATTGGTGTGGCTATTGTGAGCGGACGTGGTGATTTGAGGCGGTTGGAATGGCGATTGATTGGGACTATCCTTGGAGACGTGGTGCCTTTGGAACTGCAATCGGGACTGCATTGGTACCATGTGGGGCATTTGGGACCATACGTGCCTTATTATTGGGAGCACCCTCCTGGAGGGTTATCCCACTCGAGTTCTCTCAATGGGCCCGACTCTTGCTCATTCAGACACTTGGGGAAGGAGGCGAATCGTCGTTAAGGGGAATGACCACAACTTGTGGAGTTGTGCGCCGCATATTTTCAACTTCAACAGCGGATATCTTTTATTTGATTCGGATACTACTTTACTTTCTTGAGTGAGCCACTTACTACTTCACTCAAGGTTAGCTGAATGATTCAGACTTCCCTTCACACCTGTGTGAACCCGCACTTGCTTAACCTTGTTCATTGGATGTTTGCTGAAAAAGTAAAGTATATGCTTGTTTACATGTGTTTTGCTTTGAGTACAGGTAGGTTGAAGGATGTTTGAAAAAAAATTGATTACGTTTATTTGAGATGAAGAAAATAATTATCCTTTTTCTATCTTTCACATGTCTGCATGACAAAAGTACTTGAATTTTGGAGTGAATAATTTCAATGGGTACTGTAAAAAGAAAAAACCTTCTGAACATAATGAAGGTGAAAATAATCAGACTTAGTTTTTTTCCCGAGGATTTACCTTTTCTATTCTGAATGACCTTATCTACCTATACCTATCCAAATGATTTTCATTCTTTATTCTCCTCTGATTCTTTTCGTCTAAGTTACCCTGAACTTATAAGACACGGTAATAACTAAAAGTCAATCGCAGTGGCCACATTCTCATTCGCTAGCGAGCATCTGGAGCGGGGGTTCGTTGTTTTAGGATTCGTCCCTGTTATCGACCCAGAATGAACCATTCTACGGGGAGGTACTATGCCGATTCGATAGAGACAGTCCGACTTCTGAGATCCGATACTTGTACTCAGGCGAGGAGGAGGATTACTCCATACTACTTCCTAGAGGGAGAGACATGCAATACTTCAAGCAATGCACCCGATAAAAAATCATTTGCAAAGCAGCTTGTCATCCAAGAAAGATTGGAAGTGTACGAAGATGGGTATGCTCGTACCGAGTCTTAGGTCGACAGTAAGAAATTAATACTTTGGCAGCATGTCACATCAAGTTAAAATTTAGGCAGTCCGACTAATTTGTGGAGTTCAATATGAGGTGGTCGGATTGTATTTCGATCTTGTGTTATTGGATGCATCTAATGATGATTTTGATTCTTTTAGTT